CAAGAAACACCATACCCATTAGCAATCACTTCTCATTTTCCTCTCTCCACATCCCCTAGAAACCACTAATCTACTTTCTATCTCTATAAATGTGCCTATTTTGGATATTTCATATAAATGGAATCATACAATGTATGGCATTATGTATCACTCCCATTTTATATACGAAGAACCTAAGACTCAAATAGGGTAAGTAACTTGCCCCAAAGTCAAACAGTTAGTAACGGGATACACTAGAATAGGAACCCAGGTCTGATCCACATGCTTGTGCTTACTTTTGACCACTGTATGTTGCTTCCATATAGGAAGAAAACTGAGAAAATTTTAGCTATTCTTGAGAAAAATGGGGTTTTGTTAATCTAAGGTGATAAAAGTATTAAGAACCACAACTATAACACCATCTCTACTGAGATTATGTGAAATACACAGGCAGCTCTTCTACACAGATGATCATGGCGAACCACTGGAAAGCATACCCAACCCAGTCAGCAACCATTGCCACCGTTTCACTCCTCAACTCCAGCTTCTCCCCCCCCTTCAGCCCCATAAGGATGGCAGCTGTATGAAACCAGACTGAAAAGAATCTCCTCTCTCCCAATTTTTCATCCCTTCCCCAAATGTCACTCTGCCAATTAAACTTTACTATCCATACAAATTTCTGTCTAAGAAGACCAAGAAAAATGTCTATTTTAAATAAGTACAGTAGTGCTTTTCCTCTTCTTTTAAATTCTGGCAACCAGTTTATACTAGGTGTGAAAAAAAAAAAAGGGTGAAAAATGTTGGAGAAACATAGCTGTCAGCTCAGCAAAGGCAAAGAACTATTAAAAACCTAAGAATTGTAACTTACATGAAATGCCTATAACCCAGCCAGCCACACTGTGTGTGTGTGTCTGAGTGTGGCATATGTATGGTTTAGATTAGATGATGCCTTTCTAGAAGACCAAGTTCAGGTCTTCCTAGTTCTTTTTATCTATCATCCAACACAAACAAGTAACTACACTGTAATGATGATAATTATAATTATTTTTTCTTTCTTAGGGGAAAAGTGTAGAAGGGAAAGACTGCTCTCCACTAGGCCAAGGCCAAGGCCAAGGCCAATGTCTTTATTTGACTCTTTATCCCCCATAAAATGGCCGATACATACCATGCACTTAAATGTTTATTGAATAATAGCTAATGCTTACATAGCACCTTCCCAGGCACTGTTCTAAATACTACATATATTAACTCCCAATAATCCTAGAGGTAAGTACTAGTATAATCCCCATTTACAGATGAGGAAACGATGACACAGCCCAGGTGGGATTTGCCCAAGGTCATTCTGTCAGTAAGGGGCATAACCAGGATTAAAGAAAGGCAGCACAGGCTAGAGTATTCCAACTAGACACATTTGAGTCACTCCAATTTCTTAAAATTGAGAGGTTTATGACAAATTGCAAAGCCAGGAACTCCACCGGATCATAAAACAAGAAAAATACTTTTCCCTCTGCTACTAACAGTCCAGCCTGCCTTTCTTCAGAAGTGCTCAAAGCTTTTATTTCATTACTTCTGAACCCCCTGACAGAGGAAAATCAACAGATAGAAGGGCTCTCATCTCCTATAGTTAATTGAAAAGAAGGTCAATGATTTGGGCAGCAGAGAACTGAATCAAGGAAACTTCACTTACAATGCAGTTTTCTTTGTACAGGCCAAGCTACTCTAAAAAAAAGATAATTTTAGAGTTCTATTCCACCTACTTTTTAACCTCTAAAATATCATGTATATTTCATATTCTCTGCACTGACCACAGTGAATACAGAACTATCACAATTAAAATGGAAACAGAGCTGGGCGCCTTGGCTCACGCCTGTAATCCCAGCACTCTGGGAGGCCGGGGGAGGATTGATTGAGCTCAGGAGTTCGAGACCAGCCTGAGCAAGAGAAAGACCCCATCTCTACAAAAATAGAAAAATTAGCCAGGTGCAGTGGCATGTGCCTGTAGTCCCAGCTACTCGGGAGGCTGAGGCAGGAGGATCGCTTGAGCCCAGGAGTTGGAGGTTGCAATGAGCTATGAAGATGCCACTGCCCTCTACCCAGGACAACAGAGCAAGACTATCTCAAATAAATAAATAAATAATAAAACGAGAAACATTGTTTTGGGGTCCTTCACTCTCTTTTGTGGTTGAAAGGGAAATAATAAAATTTTTTGGTATTATATGGCATTATAAGTGGTATATAGAGACATGAAAATTATTTTACTATTGTTACCATCCTTATAGTCCAATAATTTCAAATGCAGAGTTAATCCCTGATTTTCGATTCCTCAAATTCCACACTGCATCCAACCTAGAGGCACACTTCTATTCTGAAATGATGATTAAAACCTTCTAGAGGTTTGTCCAGGTTAAGAATTGACAGCCAGGCACTGTGGCTCATGCTGGTAATCCCAGCTACTTGGGAGGCTGAGACAGGAGGATCGCTTAAGGCTAGGAGTTTAAGGCTAGCATGGACAACATGGTGAGACCCCTATCGCTAAAAAAATTAATTTAAAAAAATTTTTAAATGAGATAACACTAAAAAAACTGAGTGTTCCCTCCCTTAATAGTCCAAGTTCCTATTAATCAGAAACCAACATTCATAAAAGAAAGCTGAGACAGTCTCTGAATGAACCTGACCTTACACAGATAGCCTGTAAAAGGAGAAAACAAGAGCTACTTGTCCTTTAAGGAATGGTTTCCACTTTCTGACATGACTACCTAAACAGCTGGGAAAATGCATCCCTAAAATATACATAGTAAATGCCTCCTCACTAATTTTCCCTTCTGCATTTTCACCTCCAAAGATAAAACTCTCCATGCTGAAAGGAAGGAAGCATTTTATGGAACAAAATCAAATTGCTCCCGATCCTGCCATGTGCACCCTCCTAGGTTTTTATTTGGGATGGACAGACTCCAGAAGGTGAAGAGAGTTAAGTACGTAAAGGTTAGTTCATGATCCAGTCAACTAGAAAAGCCAATGAGACAAAATACAAAGGTATATTTGTATTTCTTAGGTTGGCTTTAAAACACTAAAAAGAAGAGATAACCAAGATTCCTTGAAAACCTTCACCTCTGAGGTGAATCTATTCTGATTTTTTTTTTAGCAGTAATTCTAAAATAAATAGTTGTTTTAAAATAAGGACAGCAATGGAGGGCTTTTAAAGATAATCTACGCAAAAAACTCTGAGCAGGGGAAGCCACTGGAAAGCACTGCTAAGGGAGAGGGTGAAAGTACAAACTCTGGGGATCATGTCTGAAAACATGAGCCCTTCTCACCAGGTGTTTTCTAATAGCCTCACAGCAATTAGTTCCCTCTGCAAGTCTAGTCCAGAACAGGAAATCTCTGGACCTATGATGTCAAAACTACAACTTCAAAAAAGCTAGTCATCCTCCTCCTCCCATTTATCACACGAGATAAAATAAAAGTTTTTATTGATATCCAGGCCAACTCAATGGAATGGTACCATTTAGGACCCTATCAGCATCTTAGTATCTTATTTTTAATCACCATTTCTGGAGTCTTAGTCAAACTTAGGATATTAAACATGAAACTTTGGGAATATAGGGCCTAACACACAAACTTAGAACAATTCATTCAGTTTTGAGCCTCATGTTCAAATCTGCTAACAGCATCTCAATGTGTGGTTCTGAAAGTATGTTAAAAGACCACCTGCATCAGGATCCCCAGGGTCTTTTCATGTTAAATTAGATTCTTAGGACGCCTCTCTCCCACACCTACTCAATCCGAATACTAGGAGACAGAGCCTGAGACATGGTGTTTTCAATATGCACCCGGGGTGATTTTAATACACACTTTAGTCTGAGAATCACTAAATTAAACCCACTGACTTCTTCGCTATTTTGTCCCCAAGATAGCTATCTACATGGGATGCCAATCCCTTCTCCCTTC